TGTGCGGGGGTATAAACATCAACCTTGAATGAAACAAGAATGTGTTTGTTAAACACAAATGCCCCCATATTCCTGTCAGTCAAATCTTTTTTACATAAAAGATTTACCCCTTCACTCATGGCAACCAGAATTCTGCATGGAATTAAATTCTTTGAATTTTTTTAAAAAGTAACCACCAAAGGAACATTCCTGTGAAGTTTGAATGAAATTGGTTTTGAGGCTTATGAGGAGATGACTTTTAAAGTAAAAGTTTACGGACAGACGAATGCCAGATGTAAGGCTATCACATAGAAAAAGTGTGAAAAAATCTGTTGCTGGCACAGGTGAAATTGACCTTGTGACTCCCAACACTGGACCATTCAAGGTATGAAGGCTTTATAAGCAAATATGTAGAAATGTATTTTTAGCACTGGTGACCTTGACCCACTGACCCCTTACTCAATCCAAAGGAAGAAGACCATGCAAATTATCTTCCTCCCAGATTTGAAAGACATCTGTCAATAAGATAACCGAGTCCTAACATCAACCAAAGGTAGAAAACTCCTACAATCTACCAAGATACATGCAACTTACCGGAATAGGTTAACCATACAAGGCCCTATTTTTCAGAGTGATAAAAAAGGGAAATAACCAGGAATAATAGACTGGACACTTATAATAACTTGGCCTTATAATGTACTTTGTATTGAAGCCATTGGTACAGGTAGAACTTAAAATAAATCCAACTTGCTGGTTTAGGTTAACCATATCCAACTTGCTGGTTTAGGTTAACCATATCCAACTCGCTGGTTTAGGTTAACCATATCCAACTTGCTGGTTTAGGTTAACCATATCCATTTTTAAAGTGCTGAAAATGCCAATAACTGATGAAATATGGAAGCCATAGTAATGTAACATATAACTTGCCAAGCTCATGTACTTTGTATGCATTAGTAAGTGTGTAAATTATGAAGCCATTGATACAAGTAGAACTTCGGATAAATCCAACTTGCTGGTTTAAACTAACCTGCACATACAGATGGACATTCTAACAAGTCACTCTATTGTTCTTTTTAGCCACATAAAAAATAGCCACATCAAAGCCTTACAGAATGAATGACATGAAAAAGAAAGTACAGTTACCTATTGTTCCACATAAGTATTCAAATGTAAGCTCGGATGAACAGTTCAATTACTATATGCTTGGGGGTATAAAAAGACAAAAGTATTTGTTGGTCAATGAATTTATTAATGATCATATGGATGGTTCATTGAAAAATTCAACAAAAAGGTTGATATATATTGGACAAAAACAATAAGTAAACAAAGAAAGCACATGCAAACAATGATCATCCAGATCACATGGTAAACATATAACAAAACAATCCATCATAATTGAATAAAATTAACCTTTGTTTGGAGTAAATATAAAGATTTTTCTATCATTTTATATTTGTTATAAAACTATACTGGGAAAACTTTGTTCAAACTAGAAATGTGTCCACAGAACACAGATGCCCCCACATTCCACTGTTTTGTTAGTCTACTGTACAGCAGGACAGTATGACAAAGGAAAATCTACATGATTCCATCTACCTCTAAGTGGTTAAGGCATGGAAAGGACATGCAAATTTTCTAATGCTGACATCTAGATTTTCCCAATATTGAGCTGCAAGAATTTCAAATGCACAACTTCACAAGCATGCTGATTATGATTCATGTACAGTTCCATGACTCAAAGCCAAATACTTATTGAGTTACCCATGACACAAGTTGAAAATTGCAATGTTTTTACTTAGTCAAGGGCAATAACTCTACAAATACCGAATAAATCCACAAGCAGACCCCCAGGTGTATAACTACACATGGTGATCAACATCCTGTAGTTTTATGACTCCAGGTCGAATACTTTTGAGCTATGTGCGACACAAGTTGAAAATTACAAATTTTTACTGGGAAGAAGGCAATTTACTCTAACAAAACTGAATAAATCCATATGCAAAACCCCAGATGCATAACTGCACATGCTGATCAACATCCCTGTAAAGTTTGTTGACTCTAAACAACATGGAACAGGTGCAAGCACAAACGGAATGACCGACAAGGGCAAATCTAAATGCTCCCCCAAGAGTGAGGGCATAAAAATTTGTTAACAAGAATTTACAGTTAAATACATTTCATTATAACACTATCTTCGGTTAATATTTTACACAACTGTCCTAAATTTATATATATTTATCTATTTATGTAAAAGAACACTCCCTGGGGTATGATTATAAAGTACTTTTCTTGGAAACATATCCAGATCTACACTGGGAAAAATAAAACATGGGACTATTTTTACATAATAATAAGTTTTATCATAGCTCAACTTTACTGATGGGGAAAGACATAAATGTCCTTCTGGTGTATTATTTCAGACACAAGTTCATGAGTTCCTAAACATGCAGCTCCTTATGGGAAAGAATTCAAAGTCCCTTTAAATACATACCAAGCATTCTTAAAAGATACAAGTAAGTATTATTGCACTAATAAATGTTAATACTTCACAATTATAAAATTCAAAAAGCCTATACTCAATTCCTTATCAATGAAAAGAACAAAATAATCTTTCCTGAAAACAAATAAAACTAAACAATATTTAGCTAGTTTGAGATGTATGTGATATTTTTCTTTCTTAATACTGGCATCTAAGGGAAACTACTTAAACAAATTAATTTGGAAAATAAACTTGTAACAGAGTTACCTCCCATCATTTCCTCAGAATGGATATACAAGTATATATATATAAAGCTTAACCATTATACATGTACATAAAAGCTCATGATATATTAATTTTTCTGTTAGTTATATAATTACTTAACAAGTACTTGATTGAATTTTTTTGAACTATTTTTTCCGTAAAACATAAGCTTTGCAGGAATGATCCAGAATAATTTATTAATTTAATAAAAAATTCAATATTAGATTTAAGTGACTATTGGTTAATTAATATGACTGACATGTGTATAATAAATGATATATGTAATGTAGCAGATATTATTTAAATTCTGAGTAACTTCTGTCTTAAATATCAACAAACATGATCAGATCCTAATAATAATGATATTATAATGACAGTACCTGACAACCTAATTGCAAACAATCTGCCTTGAAGGAACTCCACTGAGGTTCAGAAGTAAAAAATATAGAAATTTAATTTTCTTACACAGATCAGCAGGGACCCTTAAAACAGAGAAATATGCAAGAAATAATAAACAATATACTCAGAAATATATTGAAAAGTCATTTCTGTGCTATTTCTAACCAGATTTGAGCAAAAAACGCCTTTAAAGTTCGAGTCATTTTTCACAATTAGAATTATTTATTTACGATAAACGGAACTGGTGAATGATTTGAAATTCTGCACACACTTTATTGGTCTAGACCTACATCAAATGGAACATTAATCTGTAAAAAATATTATCAGTCCAGTCATGTCAAAAATCCTCAGTGGAGTCCCTTTAAGCTATCATATAATTTGCAAAAAAAGAAGCTAAATTGTTGCTACAGTAACAAGATACTTATCAAACAATGATTGTCAGATACATGTAATTACTGACTAACATTTTTCTATATAGTCATTTTATACAATGTATGTAATGTGAATGTATTCCTAAATCTTACTTTAATATAAGTTATCATGCCCATCTGAATATGTATTAAAAACAACAAATATAGAGAGGGCCAGAGCCATCAAAAGAAACAAACAAATACAGCAATCTTTTTATCTTTTTAACACATAGAACTTAATTATAAACCTTGACAAATCAGTAGCTTAATGTTTTAACAAGTAAAACTGCCAAGCAATAATACTTCAAAGATAGATTTATGATATAACAAAAAGTGTTGTAAGTTAAGTATGGTATACATGTATAAATAAATAAAGTGAAATAAATCCTGACACCATAACAAAAAATGGTCCCTGCGTATATTTCCTGTTATATACATAACTAACATACAAAATAAAAGATGATGTGAAAAATAAAATCATGGGGTTGACAGACATGTATAATGACGGTATGAATTGAAGAAAATGTGAAGGGGTGGGTATTATGCAGTAAAGGGGTCAACAAAAGGTGGGGTTGGAAGAAATGAAATGGAATGTGGGGGAATATATAATGCAGTAAAAGGGCCAATAAAATGTTGGGTAGGAAGAAATGTTATGCAAGTGTGAGAGAAACATATGTAAATGAAGGAAAATAAATGTAACTTAGGGTGAGGAATATTTTAATAATGCAAGAATAGAGGAAACAGCATTGGGAGGGAAGATATGTAAATAAGAAGTGGGTGGGGAAAAGGGGGGGGGGTAAATGCATATGTAATATTTAGTTTAGTTTATACAAATTTATTTGGAAGGTATAAGCTTATTGAAACACTCTCGAATCCGTTCCTGGAACCAACCAGTACTAAGCAATGAATGTAAAGTTCCTTGCTCAAGGAAACAACGGCTTGCCCCTGACAGGGTTTGAACCCACGCGGTCAGCATTCCTTAGAATACTTCTCTGACGCGTAAACCACTCAGCCACACCGCCACTCTTATGTAATATTTAGTATATGGTCAGAATAATTGTAATGCAGTGTAAAAAAATACATATATAACAAAGATTGGTACTCTGAGAATAGTATATGAAGGAGAATTAAACTGAAGCAATGATAAAATAAATCACAATAAAGCAGGGAGGAGTGACTGAAATTGAAGGATTACAGAAAATTCTCACAGGATGAATAAAATACGATATCAAATTCAAAAGGGAATCATAAACTGGTAATAATTTTCAAGAAACATTTCTACTAGTGCATAAGAAACATTAACATACAAATGTAAACATCAAAATCAGAAAATTCTAGAATAAACACAAGCACACTATGCCTCATAAATCAATATTTTTTTCAAACTCTTTAGGAAGGTCAAACATGTTTAATTTCGTATTAAAGGGACTCCACTGAACTTTTTTGACATGGCTAGAAATTTGTGTACTAGACCAATAACTTTTCAGATCATTCCCTCACCCGATTTTCAAATGAATGTAATTATTTATATTGTGAAAAAATGTCCTAAATTTAAGTGCTTTACTTCAAATATGTAAGAATTTAAAATTTAATGTTTATATGCTATTTGACCTTTAGTTATTAATTTAGGGCATGTAAGAAGGTACTTTTAGCACTGATCATGAAGTTATGTGTTGTAAAAGTTGCAAAAAGTAAACAAAGTAAAATTATACCAATTCAACTGAATTGCTAAAAGAGCAAAAAAAGCAAAATATAGTTAATCTATATGGCCAATGGGTAACCTTTTGGCAAATGTAACAAGATAAAAAGAATAAATAGTTTCTGAGAAATAAAAATGATAGCATTTGAGCCGCGTCATGACAAAACCAACATAGTGCGTTTGCCATCAGCATGGATCCAGACCAGCCTGCGCATTTGCGCAGTCTGGTCAGGATCCATGCTGTTTGCTATCAGTTTCTCTACTTGTTTTTGTTTGTTTCAATTTTTTACGCCTTTTCCCAACAGTATTTCAGTCATATAGGCGGGTAGTTTCCTAACCATTGTTCCTGGAGTTACACAAGCACTAGACTACCTTCCTCCGTGCTAAACTACCAAAGCATCTCCCTGGCATCGAACCCACGCCAGAGTGGTAAGTAGATTAGAAGTTATCGACTCTAACCCCTCGGCCACGGAGGCGGTCTTCTCTACTTGTAATAGGGTTTGTAAGCGAACAGCATGGATTCTGATCAGACTGCGCGGATGCGCAGGCTCGTCTGGATCCATGCTGGTCGCAAACACATTACGTTGGTTTTGTCATGGTGCGGCTCAATTTTCAGGGTTATAATCTGCCTGAACAACATATCAATTCAAGGATCTGAAAGTTGGGTATGTTTCTCATATAACATGTTGACTTTAAATATCTAAGCATGTGCCTCTTGCATTTTTATTTATAATATTGTCCATTCTAAAAACAAGCAATATCTAACAAAACTTATGTCATAATACAACTTTCTACTTTACAGGCAGATACTGACTATATGTGTCTCTTCATGTATTTACAAAGTCAAAGACGTACACTTAACTTCTAATATTTTACCACTGTTCTAACAATAATTATATTAAATCAAAACATTAACACAGTTGTAAACAAGAATGAAAGCACCCTTTAGCTTTAACCTAGTATGGTAATGATATGACCCCACTAATCCTATGATGATATACATTGAAATACAATCAAATAAATAGCTGTCAATATAAGCTGTAAAGATAAGCATGAAAAATATCTAATTGCTAATACCTTACCTACAATACTATTTTATAAAGGTAATCACACCTATCCTGAGGGTTAGGGTTAATACAATAAACAATCAGGTTGCCAATGTCTAAAATTAACTTGCTGTTGGACAGCATGCTTAACCATTCTCACTGTTTGTAGGTAAAACATAATCCTGGACTTTATAGAAACTGTGTTAATCAAATTTCAAAGCAATGGTGTGATTGGTTTGATTTTTTTAGGTTGGGTTTACATCACAACACAGTAAAGATAATATGGCGACTTTCCAGCTTTCCTCGTGGAGAAAGACCTCAGTGCATTATTTCAGGCATAAATGGGCACCTGAGTAGAACCACCAACGTTCTGTTAGCCAGCTGGATAGCTTCCTCACATGAAAGAATTCAAAGTTCCTGGTGTAATTCAAACCCACAGCTGTGAGGGCCATGTGGTTTGAAGTTAATGACCTTAACCACAAGGCCACAAACACCCCAATGGTGTAAATTGAAGCTCCACTAAAATGCTACTTAGAAATAGTTGTTATATTTCTTCTACCTATGTATTTGATTTAACTGTTACCCTGCTGCAATAAGAAGTAACTAACCTTTGTCACCAGTATAGTCAGGTCAGCTTACTGTTACCCTGCTACAATAAGAAGTAACTAACCTTTGTCACCAGTATAGTCAGGTCAGCTTGTACATCCTGCAGTCTTCTACAGGACTCTATACTGTTGGCTAACTAACTTCTTTATATCTTTATATTCCAAAACTTTATAAAAGATGACTCCAACAAGAGTGGAAATATATGCTAGAATGAAAATCTGTATAAGTAATCAAAAATAATCTTTCAACTAGTAATTTTTCAATTAGTGAACAACCATTCATGAAACTTGAATGGAAGTAGGAAAAATTCTAAGAAAGTCCACAGGTGAAGGGTTAAATTGATCAACAATTATAATACTGAGAATCTTCTAGTCATTTTTTTTCAATGAAGTTATTACTCAAAACATCTATACATCTGATGTACAGTTCCATACTGGACTTTATACTTATAAGACTTTATACTTAAAATTATGCATTATTAATTTCAGTTTATGGCACATTTTCTGCATTATTTATTCAATACTTAACGCAAAATGTTGTATTCATAACTTAGCAAATCCATTATTTAAAACAAGTAGGAAAAAGTTTTTTTGTTTTTTTTGTTCTTTTTGGGCAATATCACTCTAACAACAATTAGAAATATAATGTAAATTTGAAGGCATGTTTATCTAAAACAAGGGATTAATATTATAAACAGGTAGTAAATATTTAATCTATGACAACCAGTGACTATGAGTTTCTATATGAAATATCAAAATCAGAGTACATCAGACCTGTTGCTGAGATTGCATCTCCTAATCCTACAGTTTTTAATGGTGATATACAAACTAATACAGGACTAAACACAAAATAAAATCCTTCCCTCTCCCATGAGAATACTGGATTATTTTCATCAAATGTATAATCATCTTGGCCTGAGAATAACTTAAATGTCCCTGGAATTCTTAACTCTATATCAGGGGGAGATAATTTGTTAACATCACATGCTTGTCTCCCTGCCATTCTTGTTCCAGCTGCAACTGCTGATTGTGTATTATGCCACGCACTAGGAAGGGTACCAACTATATGATATGTTAAAGAATGGAAATGAACTCTTGTCAGTCTGGAGGAAGGGTTCTCCTTAGAATAACCATATGTTTTCAGGATCCATAGAATCATATCACTGATTTTGTGTATTTCTGGTTGACCAGTCCGTGTGTGAAAGTCATCAAAATGTGGACCATCTGCTACATGGGCAGAAAAAGATAATTCTTGTTCATTTAAACCAAGAGAGGTAACTCCTGGAAGGACCTGCAAAATATAAGTAGTAAAGTAAAATATGTCAATCACTTAACACAATAGTTTAATGGAAATAAAATCTACATTCTGGTTCTTTAACGTATAGCCTGCTGGTGGACACTACCAGTGTAGATCCAGACCAGCCAACACACCTGTGCCTTTTAGATCATGGTCTGCACTGTTTGTTATTTATTTTGAAATTATCACTAAAATGACAAATAGTTTAATCAAGACTGAAAGATGGACAAGTCTATTTAAGATAATAAGCATGGTAAGGGTTAAATATAATCAAAATACTTTTTATAAGGGGTGTTACATAAATGACATTTATCCATGTAAAAGTGTTTGGTCAAATTTTAACCAATATTAGAAAATTTAATAACTGGTAACCAAGTTTGGCATTAAAACAACAGCTGATGACTCAGAATTACCTTGATATTTTTCTATCAAAACTACATGTGTGATAATTTAGCAAAAAAAAGAACTATTTACCTGATCTAAAATGGCTTGAACTAATTCTTCACTTGCCATACTGGCCAGTTCTAAATGTACAGGCACATTTTTTGGAATTTTCTGTAAACCTTCTTTCACCTCAGCAATCTTCTCTCGTATTAAAGCCGAACCTTGCGTCTCTAACAAATGCAGACCACTCAATAAGATCAAATCTGAATCAAAATGAGTCAAACCACTGAAAAATTTATTCAGTGACGTAAGTTTAGAGTTTGACTCATCGTAACTTGTTATAAACCTGTTTGCTACTGGCGACGTTAAACCTTCCCAGTTCTCATTCAGTTCGTATTCCATGATAAGATGTACTTCATCTGACGGTATGTGACTGTTTTCAGGAATTGACATAGTTCTGGGGAGAAGTGATTTCAATAAGGGGCCTATAGGTCCAATCAGTTGTATCTAGAAAAAGAAGTAAATAATAAATGTGTGCCTGTTTTGTTCATCACAATTTTTTTCTTTTTAAACATTTACTGGTAAATCCAGTCCCAATAGCAGGAGATTGCTGTTGTGTAATTATTTTAAAGCAGTACAAGTAGATTGTTAAGAATAGCTAACATTGCTTCTTTACATTACAGAAAATAACATTATTGTGGAATACTAGTTATGTATCATTGTTTAGTGGTTCTCTTCAAAAGTTTAACACATGAAGGCACAAACATTTGAAAATATTTTCTAAACTTTCATTCACTCAAGTGAGTGAAATTAGACCAATTAGACCATAAATAATTACTATGCGCAACTTTTACAATATACAAGCAAAAGATGTACAACTATCAGCCATTCTATGATAAACACTTTAGTTTAAGTACATTAATTTTACAACACAGATATTACAAACAACTTTACCTTTGTATTTGGGAAGAGTTCCGCCACTTTAGCTGCCATTAGAGCTGCATTACCACCAATATAGTGCTGAAATGTGTATAAATTATCATGATGAAATCAATACTGCTACTTATATAACTAGCAATTAAAGCAGCACGCCTGCAGAGTCATGCTATTTTTTTTTTGAAAATTTTTAAAAAAGTATTAGACAGTAAAATATTGTGAAGTGAACAAATAAAATAATTTTCAAATTGCAAGCAGCACAAACTAGTAATGTAAATTACAACAAGAGCTGTCCGTAAGACAGCGCGCTCGACTTTTTTATTGCTTGCCAATAAAAAAAGTTTTTGCAGTAAAAGGCAATACAAGAATCTCTGTATTTTTAAAGTGAACAATGGCCATGAGCAAATCCTTGACAGAGTTACCTTCTCTTGCGTACAGATGGGGGTAATGATGTGAAATAGCATTAAAAGTTTCAAAGCAATATCTCAAAGGGTTAAGGCAATAAGTGGATTTTACCCATATTCAATGTATTTTCTAAGTCAAAAAGGGGCATAATTCTGTCAAAAACCTTGACAGAGTTATGTCCTCTTGTCTGTTGATGAAGGTCGTGATGGTAAACAAGTATGGTCAGTTTCAAAGCAATACCTCCAATGGTTTTGAAATAAAGTGAGGTGGTACAAAAAACTTAACCAAGCTCAATACACTTTCTAAGTCAAAAAAGGGCCATAATTCTGTCAAAAACCTTGACAGAGTTATGTACTCTTGTCTGTAGATGGAGGTTATGATGGTGAACAAGTATGGTAAGTTTCAAAGCCATACTTGTAATACTTCTGAAATAAAGTGGGGTGGTACGAAAAACTTAACCAAGGTGTGACGCCGACGCCGACGCCGGGGCGAGTAGGATAGCTCCCCTTTTCATAGAAAAGTCGAGCTAAAAACGAGGTCAAAATATGCATAAATAACCCTTACTGTGTTAGAAACACAGTAGAAATAAGGTGAAAAAATACTGCAAAATCGGACATAAATTGCACGTAACATGGGAAGTATTACTTTTATCTTGAATTTCTATAATTTTCTTAAAATCTCAGTATTTTTTTCTTCAGGAGGCATGCAGCTTTAAGCCTTCAGTATCTATTTGCCATATAACAAATCTGACTGAAGAGAAGCATCCTCTTCTTTTCTCAGTATTTTTGAGTTAAAGGTCACATTAACCTTAACCTTGAACCTTTTGACCTAAAGATAATTGTGGCATACATAACTCATTAAGATGTATCCACATACAAAATTTTAATGTTATACTATTTAACATAAATAAATAAAAACTTATCAGATAATGGGATGAAACTCTGCAATCCTGCATGTTTGTCAATGTGGCAATAGTGTAAAAATCTATTTTAGCACCAATGACACAGACCTTGACACTAGCCACCCAAAATTAAAGAACCACTTAAGTTATGTAACTACTAATTATGAAAAATATCAGTCAATGAATATAAAATTCTATTTTTGGCACTAATGACCTTGGCCCCAGTGACCAACCAAAATTAGAGGTCCGCCCAAGGTACAATTATCTACCTACCAAATATCAATACAGAAATATGGAAGGACAAAGGGGTGACTATATGATCACTGAAGGCCAGTCTAACTTTATACTACAGGTACAAGCTAATCAGTGTCCAACAGCTTCAGGGTAAGTTTATCTCAAACAAGGTACCGTTATAGTTAGTTCTAAAAAGATATGTTAAAGCAAAATTTATTGGCTATTTTCTTCTATAATTTCATGATTGATTGAAGTAAAATCATTTTTCAAATTTTGATCACCATCCAGGGCCTTTTCCAGCTATTTTGGAAAAAGATCCCTGGCATAAATTGGAACAAAATATTCGGCAATTTGGCAAATTTGAGTAATTTCAAGACCTTACACATAACTTTTTTTTATAACATGTGTATGAACATATAAGCTGTCACTTCTTTTAAAAAAAGAAGTCAAAACAGTTAAATTTTTTAAGAAATTGAAACAGTTTGATCTTAATGACTACTGTTCAAAGTTTTTTTTTGAAAAAGAGAGGCTAATGTGATTAGGAAGGGGTTTAGTGAAAGGGTGAAAATGCACTAGTATAATCAAACATGTGCAAATATTTTGCCTTTTTTTAATCATGTTTAATATTGTTCATTAAAACCAAAAACGAATGGTGTTTGACAAAGTAAGCTTTATCATACCTGTTTTGATGGCAACTTTTCTGCAACCTCAATTATTTGTTTATATTTCCTTTCATCTGTAAAAGTTCTCTCTGCGGCAGCCCCTTTTTTAAAGTAATGTGTAAATGTGTTACGTAGATCATCTATATCCTCCAATGAAACACTATCTAAAGACTCTCCTGGACTTTGACCTAAAGCTGTTAACAAGTCTGTCCCAGAGACGATCAAATCTAGGTTACAGTTGATACTGAAATTCAATAGTTAAGAAATACATTTTATATATTATATGTTCATTAATTATACAATTTAACAGACAAGCCAATTTCATAAGCTAATCAAGGAATATCTGTAAGACAACTTGACTTCTTTTTGGTTGAATAACAAGAGGGCCATGATGGCCCTGAGTCGCTTACCAGAAACAACTGCTTTTCAGTGTTGGAAATTATTTTTCAAAAGAACTTGCTGAAAGGCAAGTCCAGCTCTTTTGGCATGTTCAGCTCAACTGTAACTTGCCCCTATAGTTATATAATTTCACAACACTGATTGTTTTTTCTCTCTTTTTCTTCATAATAAAAAATAGGGCCACTAGTATGGCCCTAGATCACTCATCTAACCCATCATTTCATTATTCACTATATAAATTGAAATATTTTGCTTTGCTTAAAATTTCTATGTTGCTAGTGTGTTCCTATGCGACTATGTAGAATAAATGCAGAATAAATGACCACAACAGCAGGGTTAATTTTGATGGGACAATTTTTTTAAAACTTTTGTAAATGAATACACAAAATGTCACATCAAAATATGTAAGGTGTAGATGTTTAAAGTTTACAATATGGGACAACAAATTGTTTATACATTCTATATGATAACATTAATGTACCTAAAAAAAAACAAGAGGGCCTTGAGGGGCATTAAATTAAGCTTTAGCTTAAACAGAGCTAATCAAATTAATATGAACATACTTGATAAAAGACTACCTAAGAATGCTACAGAAAAAGTTTGGTTATCATCTATGAATTATTTCAGTAGGAAATGATGTTAAAATGTTTTTCTATTTTTAGCTTTAGTGGCGGCTCAAATTAGGGGCCAATCAAATTAATATGAGCAAACTTGATAAAAGACTACCTACATGTAAGAATGCTACATGTAAAATTTGGTGAAGCTACCTATACACCAAGTTTGGTGTCAATAGGCCAAAGCAAACTCAAGTTATTGAGTGGAAACTGATTTCTATTTTTAGTAACAATGAACTTGACCTTGATCACAGACACCTGGGTAGCAATCCCAAGCTGCCTCTTGATATAAGCTATCCATACACCAAGTTTGGTGACAATAGGCCAAAGCAAACTCAAGTTATTGAGCGGAAACTGAATTTCTATTTTTAGTAACAGTGACCTTGACCTTGATCACAGACACCTGGGTAGCAATACCAAGCTGCCTCTTAATATAACCTACCTATACACTGAGTTTGGTGTCAATAGGCCAAAGCAAACTCAAGTTATTGAGCAGAAACTGGATTTCTATTTTTATTAACAGTGACCTTGACCTTGATCACAGACACCTGGGTAGCAATCCCAAGCTGCCTCTTTATATAAGCTACCTACAAACCAAGTTTGGTGTCAACCAAGTTTGGTGTCAATAGGCCAAAGCAAACTAAAGTTACTTTGCGGAAACCAAAAGTTAACGATCGCCGCCGGCTTCGGCATTACTATAACCCAGTTTTGTTGGAAACCTGGTTAAAAATATATGAATGACCCTGATCTCACACGAAGCATGATGGTGCATTAAAGTTTACAATACCCAGAATCAATAATAAAATAATGAGGTTGAAGTGTACTGACTTAGTTTTAGTATTAGCTGGCAAAAATAGTCAATTTTTTTCTTCGTATGCAATATTATAAATGGCATTTGTTATGAGCACCGGAACTGGTAAACTTGCTTCAGAACTGGTGAAGCTAATCAGGTAAAATAAAGCAGTATTCTTACTAGCAAAAAGGTAATATATTTTCTGATAATTGTTAGATATGAAGTCGAATAAAATATCTACTAGCAGGTTCATTTGTTTATACAAACATTTTGTTAATTTGTGTACAGTCAGCAAAAGTTGGAAAAATGTGCCGGAATCGGTCAAACAACTGTATAATTAACGAGAGCTGTTGACAGAACAGCAAGCTCAACTATTCTCAAGACCCTGGTGAAAGCAACATTTCTCAAGTTCAAAAAGGGACATAATTCTGTCAAAATAGGGTTATGGTTAACAACAATTGTTCAGTTGTATCCCTTGTTATATTATATATATATAGTTGGAAAGAAAAAAATGACAGAATTCCCTGTGATCGGTATGGGATCATATATGAAATTAACGTAATTAAGTACGAATTAACTAAGGACGAGATTTTCGTACCCAACACTTATTCGGCGAAACTTTCGTTTTGGCTCAATGATTAAATCATTCCAGGATTCAATTATATTTTGTTCCTTTTCATCCAAACTCTGCAACTGTAAATTGTGCCATTTGCCATAAATATAGGCTAAAATGATTGAGGTGATCCCGAAACCAATGGTTTTCGTCCACATCTTTTCGTAGCCGGGAGTGTCTTCCCCTTTCACCGGGAACTTCGCTAATTTACGTTAACCGGACTCCGGTTTTTACCGGTCTTCATAGACCGCTATGAAACTCATATATTGCAATAAACCACAAATCTTGGGCTTAGTACGTTTATCCACATTCCAAAACTGCTTTTAAAGTCTGACTAATAAAGTTACCTCAAACATTTTCAATGATGACCAATGTTAATTATTCAAATAAAAATTCTTACCTCAAAGTTCCTGGGATTAGTAATTAATAAAGGAAAATAACTTAACAAGAGGGACACTATATTGGCCCTAAATTGCTCACCTGAACATAAAGGCTCAAAATAATAGAGGACTGAGAGGATAGAAGGTAGAGCTGCGAAACCCAGCTACTAACGCTGACAGATGAGCTCACCAAGTCCATGGACCAGACCTCGCAGTGCTTACCAGGACTTCAGCAAAGCGTTTGACTGCGTCCCACACAGCCACCTGTTAGCCAAGCTTCATCAGTATGGCATCAGAAACCACACCCTGAAGTTGATTGAGGCATATCTCACTGGCCACACTCCGCGCGTAGTCGTTGATGGAGCAACGTCCGACCCAGCACCCGTTATCAGCGGAGTCCCCCAGGGAAGTGTGCTTGGACCCATACGTACTCTTCCTGGTCTTCATCAACGACCTGCCACTTCATGTCAAGTCCAAGGCCAGGCTCTGCAGATGACTGTGTGGTATACTGGGAAATGGCCACTGAAGAGGACTGTCACATTTTACAGGATGACCTGAAGAAGGCAGGCAGTGTGGGAAAAAACGCTGAGGAAATTGAGTTTCCACTCAGAGAAGTGCAGCATAATCAGGGTCCACAGGAAGAGGTACCAACACGTTGACAAGATTGTGAAGAAAGGCAACAGCACACTCGGCTTCCTGAATCGATGCAACCTGCACATCAGCAATGAACAGGTGAAGAGCACAGCCTACATGTCACTTGTGCGACCAGGCCTTGAATATCGTTTCACCGTCTGGAACCCTTATACCAAGGACCTTAATTTACACGCAAGCTCGAGATGGTCCAGAGGAGAGCTGCAAGATATGTGACGAACCGTTACCACAACACCAGCAGCATATCCTCCATGATCCAACACTTGGAGTGGGAGACATTAGAGTCACGACGGACCAAAGCCCAGCTGAACATGATGTTCAAGATCACCAATGACCTTGTAGACATACCAGTCAGCGATTATCTCACCCCTGCCCCGAGCCGCACTAGAAGTGACCACTCCAAGAAGTTCCATCAACCATCCACATCTACATTGTACTACAAGAACTCCTTCCCTCGTACAGCCACAGCCTGGAACAGCCTACATGCCCCTGTTGCAGAGGCCCTTGACTTGGTATCCTTCAAGCAGGGGTTATCATCCCTCACATTCTAATCCGCCATCAGGGACCCTCGTCTGTCTGCTACAAGTACCCACTAGTGATATCCAAGGTTGTGCTGGCCGCGGCCACTGTAACCATAATGGTTTGGGTTAAAGAGGCGAAATGTAGCTGGCCAGACTTTTTGTCTATATCTCTTTCTTTTGACCTAACTTTCTATCATTTCATGTATATTTCTTTTTCTTGACCTAGCAACACCCGTCGCGTTAAAATCAAGTGTGATTGCGCCGACGTACGATGTAGATAGACTGATATTGGATGGATGAGTAACAGGCATTATGTTGAAACCTAGGTCAACTCCTGATATCTCAAGTTCAAACTTGGAACTGTGCATGTTACAGTAGAAATTTCAGAAAAACTCTTAGACAAACTACAAAAAGTTGTTTGCTGATTCAAATACAAGTTAAACTGATATCAAAGTTAAAATCTGCACCAAATCTGTGGAAGTAGTTGAATTTTCAATGCTGTAGCTCTCAATACAAAAAGTTGGTCACTGGGTCAAAATGTAGGTCAAATTTCAATTCAAACCAGAGCTGCGACATCTAACTTTTTTTTTCCTTACAATTTTTCTGTCATTACAAGTTTAATGTCACCATTTTCATGCAACTTATAATTATGCCTATATGAAAACTATAAATAGTCCTTAAAATATGTTTCTAGCCCTTTTAACTCAAATGTTCAATGGAGCAGAACCATTAAAATAATTTTAGTGGAGCATCATGCTAGGAATGTCCTAGGAAAATTTCATCAAATTTTACCCAGTGGTTTAAAAGTAGTCGTTTGGAAAAAAAGTTGTTGACAGACTCACTGATGAGACACCTCACAAAAGCTCAGGTGAGCTGCAAATTGCATGGTAGAAACAATGCACTATCACTCATTGGTCTTTATAACTGTTCAAATTTAATAATTTGCAAGTTCTTTCAATTATTTTCTGCTAAAGGACAAATGTATGTTATAACATTTGTGACTTTGATCTTTATGTAATAAATGTTTGACTGCTTAAATTGATGGTGATGCTGTTTTTTTTTTGTTTAACAAAGATTATGGATAGAATAAACCATTTCAGGTTTAAATGACGGCATAAAAATAAAAAGTCTAACCTAGCATATACATTTTTTTATTCATTGACAATTTACTCGACTTATATAAAAAACAATACAACAAACAGTAGACATGAAGAATAATCTAAGTTATGAATTATGAACAATGCAAAATATGAAATACAAATCATGACATTATTAAAACACATATCAATCATGTCATCAAAATCAATTTCAATTATTCATGCAGTATTGTATTAAAGATCCCGTGTTTTGTGATTGATATTGTTACTGTGTGTATACCACACTTGCAAAAAAATTATATATGTATATAATTATGCAAATTAAACAATTTTCAAACATCGAAGAATATGTAAAATGTGTACTGCAAAATTAATATTTGTGCACATTTTATTTAATCAGTTAACTACATGCATTCATTTCTTATTGGAAAATTTGACTTAGAATTTATAGAAAATAAATCTCTAATTACCTCCCTTTATTTACATGAAATGTTAAATTGGGTAATATCTTTATAAATAATGCTTATTGGAACTTACAATATTGACAAATCCTTATTTGAGCATCATATTTATGAAATAAAACCATGAAAAAATTGTGTTACAGGATCTTTAATACATTTACCAAATATGAATACAAGTATAAACAAGAGCCACCCCCTGGTGGGGGCCATGCTCGACTTCTTCTTATCTCCAACATAGTTAGTATATTGTAGTAAACAATACTCCTACAAAACTATATTTTCTTGTAAAAAATGCAACTCAAATTTCTGTTTGACATTGATGGGCAAGGTCATTTATACATCAAGATCAAATTTGAATTCATCATCATGTCAGTTTTGTCAGAAGTGGTCATTTGTCCAAGAAATAAATCAAATAGATAAATAAATAACAAAGTTATAAAGTCCTTAAGGTAATAATGAAATAAACAAGTTTGCTTCTTTAAAAAGAAGCATGCAAGAGTTTTTGTTTTGCAGCTGTGGAAGATGTAATTGTTAAAAGGCCGGAAAGTAAGAAGTTCTGATTGGTCGTTTTGCATCTGCTAACAAAAATAACATATCCGTTATTTCTGTCAGTCTTGGGATAAGCTATAATTAGGAATAATCAGTGAGGTATTCCAAAGTTAAAGGAGCAGCAAAATTTCGGTACATGGTTCACTCCATCATATAATAGTGCTTGGTGATGTTGTAGCTATAGCTACTGTTACTATTTTCCAGAACATTAAATAGTAAATCGCTATTCAGAAAACAATAATCAATTTATACATTTAAAAGGATAAAAAAAACAAGTAAACCATTGTTCATAGCTTTAAATGTAACTTAAATGATATTTTGTTAAATGATGTTAACGTCATATTTTTAAGTGAAATTTGTAGACTGTAGGCTTTAAATGAGATTCATTAAATTACTATTTTATATGCAAAAATGTATGCCACAAGCAATCATTCTCAACACTGTGGAGAGGTCTGACCTCTCCAATAACATAATTTGACCTCTCCAATAACAAAATTATGGCCAATTGAAGCAAAATTTACTAATTATTAATGTCATGGTCAAATTAAGGTCAAGGTGAATTAAATCTTCTTTAACATCTTGTCTACGATTATTGTGCCCAAGTATAAAGACAACCCATTTATTACTTAAAAAAGTTATAGCAAAGAAACTGTGAAATTATATTAATTTGACCTTCAAAGTCAATGTCACTTATGAGTCAAGGCCATATTCAGTTTTGTAACGGTATCAGATACTAGTTTAACCTGCATGATTATTTTACCTTGACCTTTATATTATCAGTACTATTCCATTAATGCTTGAATGGGCAGTTCTTATTTATAGACAGGCGATTCCCGCCACTAGCCAGTTCTGAGATTAAAATTGATAAGCTCACATCTGTGTTCTTACTTTAATCTATTCACATTTGTGAATTACTGAACTCCGTATCCATAATAAATATACGTACATTACACAAGAAGTATTACATGGTGTCAGAAGAAAAAAAAGGATTAAAAAAAGTGAAAAAAGGATTATAAAGCTCTCATATATTATAAACAATTGTTAGAACAATGGAGGGAATTCCACCGCCGAATATAAATTGGGATAGTACCAATTTGCCAGACGAATGGCAAAAGTTTGAAGAGCATGCAAAATTAATATTCAACGGCCCGTTACTGGAGAAGATTGAAGAGCAGAAAGTCAGCTACCTATTAATCTGGGTAGGAAGCAGGGGCAGAGAAGTCCGCCAAACATGGGGTGATATATCAGCAGAAGACCAGAAAAAATTAGAAACCTACTACACACGGTTTCGAATTTACGTGCAGCCAAAACTCAACCCCATATTTGCCAGATTTAAATTTTATAACGAAACGCAGGGTTCAGACAACTTCGACTCTTTCCTGACACGACTACGGATAAGGGTCAGAGATTGTCAATTCGACAAGCCGGAAGAAATGATCCGTGACAGAATTGTTTTTGGGATAAATAACCCTAAAGCCAGAGAAAAATTGATCAACGAAGGTGATAAGTTAACACTTGACAAAACAATTCACATTGTGCTAAATATGGAATACTGCCAAGAACAATTAAGGACAATAGGCAAAGAAAATGTAGACGCAGTCAAACAGAGAAATATATGCCCTAATCAATGCCACCGCTATCATCAGCATCATCATCATCAACAACAACAACCAACAATAGTGTAACAAAAAGCAGCAGGAAACTCCAAGGATGGAAACTGCTCAAACTGTGGACGAAAAAAGCACACGCATCATCAAATCTGTCCAGCCAAAAACATGACATGTCATAATTGTGGAAAGTTTAACCATTTTGCCTGTGTATGCAGATCAAAAAGCAGGAATGTACATAACGTTAGTTCAGCAAATGGATTTAAACAAAGTGATTCGGATGCAGAGGAAAATACAGAATTTTGCATAGACACGGTAAATTTTTCTTCTCCTACTGAACGTGCATTTGTCCAAATAAATGTTGGCCCTTCCCGTATACCTATACATTTCAAATTAGACACAGGTAGCGCTGTAGATATTCTCCCTTTAAATCAGCTCAAGAAACTCAACATAAATCACCCTCTTGAGCCCCCCAGTAGTCACTTGACCTCATACACTGGAAACAGGTTACCTGTATGTGGCACGCTCAACCTGCAAATGAGTTACAGGGATCAGAGCTGTCAATCAAATTGCTACATTGTAGATAGCAACACCGTCCCACTACTTAGTTTACAAACATCTGTTAACCTTAACCTGATACAATTGACATACTCAGTAGAAACCTCTACACCACTTGGGGCGTCTGTGGCCGAGTGGTTAAGGTCGTTGACCACTTGCCCCTCACCGCTGTGGGTTCGAATCCCGACAGGGACTTTGGATTCTTTCATGTGAGGAAGCAATCTAGCTAGCTTACGGAACGTCGGTGGTTCTACTCAGGTGCCCGTTTGTGCCTGAAATAATGCACGGAAGGGCACCTGAGGTCTTCCTCCACCAGTAAAGCTGGAACGTCGCGATATGACCTATACTGTGTCAATGTGACGTAAAACCCAAAACAAAACAAAAATCTACACCACCTGATAAACAAAAGATCTTATCAGAGTATGGAGATGTATTTAAAGGCATCGGGGTCATTCCAGGTGAGAGTAGATTGCACTATAGGCCAGATGCAATTCCTATCATTAATCCTCTCCGCAGGGTTCCGGAGGCATTAAGAGAAAGATTAAAAACTGAACTCCAGCACATGGAGAAAGAGGATAATTACAAAAGTAACAGAACCTACAAATGAGGGATGGCCAATTTCCCGCGCAGACTGTAATCCTGCTGTTGTGGAATTTTTCAATCACAGAGACGAACTCTCTGTAGCAGACGACCTTATATTGGTCAAACAATCGTTATTCCCGCCTACGCAAGACAGCAATTGATAGAGTCAGTTCATCAAGGTCATATGGGTGTGGAAAAAACTATACGACGAGCTAGGGACGCTTTGTTTTGGCCTGGCATGGCAAAACAAATCACTAGTTATATTTATCAATGTGCTGTATGTCAAAAGCACAGATATTCAAATGCAAAAGAGCCTTTGATATCACATGACGTACCAGACAGACCATGGCAAAACATTGCCGCTGACTTGTTCTCATTTGACAACAAGGACTATCTGGTCACCGTAGACTATTACAGTCGATACTTTGAAGTAGATGCTCTCCCAAATACTCAAAGTACAACTGTAATTAGAAAACTTAAAGTCCATATGGCCAGATACGGCATATGTGACAAACTAATGACAGACAACGGCCCGCAATTCTCTGCAGAAAATTTCGCAGATTTTGCGAGAGAATGGGGTTTTTCACATGTTACATCAAGCCCCTTACATCCAATCAGCAATGGTCTCGCTGAAAAAACAGTGTCCATTGTTAAAAGGTTATTCAAAAAAGCCCAGGAAAGCCAGAAAGATCCATATTTGGCTATTCTAGAATATAGAAATACACCCCTTGAAGTTGGCTTTTCACCAAACCAACTATTAATGGGTAGAAGAACAAAATCAATTCTACCTGTCACTAATGCGCAACTGAAGCCCCAATGCATCGACCCCAAGACAATAAATAAAAAAATGAAAGATATCAAACAAAAACAAAAATCTTGCTATGATAAAACCACCAGAAAACTCCCCCCTCTAAAACTAAATGAGTATATACGGCTTCAGGTTAAAAATCACTGGGAACCAGCAAGAGTTATAGAAATACACGATGACCGCTCCTATTCAGTGCAAACTAAAACAGGTGGTATTTACCGCAGAAACAGGGTCAAGCTGAACAAAACAAAGGAAAACTTTCCAGAAATTCAAGAATTCTCACCTAGAATCCTGGAAGAATCACCTCCCAATAACCCCTTATTGAACCCCACTGTCAGTAACTTTCCAGAATCACATAATTCTGACCACGCTATAACCTCTGAGTGCAATGATAAGCCCCGCCAAAATAACCCTTATGTCACACGTTCAGGCAGGGAAGTAAAACAGAACAAAAGATACTTTGATGAAAAATGGAGTAACAAATGAACAATAAAGCAGAAAACATTAAAAAAAAAGATGTGATTGAACTTTATGACTTATTAGTTAAAACCTATGTTTTAATTACACGCATTATTGTAATTCATATACATGTATTTTTTCATCAATGATAAAGCTTGTTTGTTTGTTAAGTAACAACTTAAACATCTATATTATTCATTATTTCATGTAATAAAAATATTATTGTTAAATGATTATCAAACATATTTAATAGACATTTGTATATTGAAAGAGTTTCAAATTCTCAAGAAGAGGGAAATGTAACGATATCAGATACTAGTTTAACCTGCATGATTATTTTACCTTGACCTTTATATTATCAGTACTATTCCATTAATGCTTGAATGGGCAGTTCTTATTTATAGACAGGCGATTCCCGCCACTAGCCAGTTCTGAGATTAAACTTGATAAGCTCACATCTGTGTTCTTACTTTAATCTATTCACATTTGTGAATTACTGAACTCCGTATCCATAATAAATATACGTACATTACACAAGAAGTATTACAAGTTTGATCTTCTTTAAGATATTGTCCTTAAAGTAATTGTGCTCAAGAATGAAAACATACCATTCATAATTAAAGTTATAGCCAATTATAGCAAAAATCAAGCAAAATTCAATTATTTTGACCTTTAACATCTGAGCTAAAAAAAAAAATCACAAAAATTTCAGGTTGGATATCAAACTAGCATCACACAATTGTAAATCTGTTACAAGATACCTAACAAGTCTTAATTACAATCAATGAAAAATCATAATATAATGACTATACGAATAAACAAATTTGTAAAACATAAACATCAATCATGAGGTATATATTAAGAAATATAAGACATAATTGTGTTATTGTGTATCTTCATTGTATGACAGTTTCAATATTTACAATCATAAATACATCCACAGATTTATAGACATGGCTATGAGATCTATATTATCACATGTTGTCCATTACAAATTTACATAATACATGTTATATACATGATATTGCACACACAATTCTTTACAACTATCTTGGCCCAGTGTCCCAGTCCTAAAACTATGAAGCTTTTTTGGTGTCAATAGCTTTTTATTCATCTATTGGCAGGGCGGGCAAAACCAATTGTCCGTATTGCCCAGGTTGTCCCACAGCCTGTACGGACAAATGTAAATTTTCAAGAATTAACTATGTAAAAATCATACGGACAAGTTGAAAAATGCATCACATAAAAACAGACAAGTAAGTCCAAATCAAATTTTGCCAGCCCTGATTGGAATTCAATATTCTTTATTTATGCTTCTTTTAAAATGTAGGAAGATGAATCTATAAATATTGATGATATTTTTCTCTATAGCCTACACAAATGCTTGAAGCCTTCATTGATAGAGAAGAAAGTCACTGTCAGTCCACATCCTTCAGTTTTCTTAGAATTTACCACAGTTTGTCACAAAATTGATCTCAAAAGAATAAGAAAACTTTTCAGAAAGTCATCATTTCTCATGTGTTTTTCTCAATATTCAGCACACAAAACTTGTCTTATGTAAGTTTCATGACAAATCAGTGTGAGACAGTCTTGATAGATATTTTCATCCATCTGTGAAATAGTAGTGTTGATGAGCATACTAATTATTGGTTCCCTGATGAGGAATGTGTCAGCAAGTTCAGTCCCAGGGGTAAATGTACAAGGAACCATCATGGGGTCCAACATATCCCACTGCTATCAGTACAACATCTACTATTGTCCAAACTCCAAGACCTCCAAAACTGAAGAGCTTGCCGATACCAGATCTCCATAATCCAATATAGAACCTGTCCACACCAAAACCACCCAATGTTACACTGTAAAATATACATCAAAATATGTAAAAGAAATGTTAAGCAATAATTTCATGTATCTTCTTTTTACTTATATATCTATGCATCCATTCTTTTTTTTTTATTCAACAAATATATAACTGAACATCCAATACCTTGTCATCCCTTAAACAATTCATATAAATATGTATATATCTGCTTTTTTACAAATAAATCTTTGTATTTTTTTTTTTTTTGTAATAGTTCCATGAGCAAATAGCAATAATCAGGGGGTCTGTGACCAAACAGTTTAAATATCTGCCTAACAACCCAGAGATCATGGCCTTAAGCCCTACTTTAATCTTCATCGTGTTATCTCACATGATACTACTGAAAGTTTAACTTGTTTTACTTTAAAGCTAAATTAAATACATGCATATTTAAATTATATATCTGCCAAACACCAAAAGTATATCAAACATAAGACCAGCAGAATGTATTAATGATGTATTAACAGAAATCCATTAATGTGACCATGTTTGTTTGATTGGGTTTTACGTCACATTGACACAGTATAGGTCATATCGCAACTTTCCAGCTTTACTGGTGGAGGAAGACCTCAGGTGCCCCTCTGTGCATTATTTCAGGCACCTGAGTAGAACCACCGACGTTCTGTAAGGTAGCTGGATAGCTTCCTCACATGAAAGAATCCAAGTCCCTGTCGGGATTCGAACCCACAGCGGTGAGGGGCAAGTGGTTTGAAGTCAACGACCTTAACCATTCAACCACGGACGCCCCATGTGACCACGTACAATGCCTTAAATAAAACCTGGGATGGTAAAATTATCATATGCAAAATATACATTTTACAAATATATGACTATTGTTACAGAAATATGACAGCTTTAAAAGTCCCTTATTTTTTCCTAATAAGTTTATTGATGAATATCCTCTAAATACTGGAACCTCTAAATTCCGAAAACCGGACAATTTTCTGTAGGCTATTAATGCTAAACATGCATGAAAATCCTCTGAAAAGCGAACAGCAATTTGAGTGTCAAATTTTTGTATATTTTAATGTAGATTTAAACATAATCCCAACAGGAAGGATGCAATTCAATTCAGTTTATGGTGACTTGCTTTATCTATGCAGGTGTGAAAAACACTTGTCAGTGTACATGTATGTTACATAAACAGTTTTATAAATACAGGAATATGGTGTAGTTCAGTTTTATAATTATAGGAATATGGTGTAGTACCATTTTATAAATATAGGAATATGGTGAAGTACAGTTCTATAAATTTAAGAATATGGTGTATTTTTGTCAAACAGTGTGACAGATATGGAAGTATGACTGAGCAATGACAATCAGTTTTAAAGATATAGAAATATAACTTAGAGAAGTCAAACAGTGTTTTACATCATTTGTAGCAGTTGCACATTGTATTACTAATAACAATACATTGTATACCTTAGTGCTAGCGCTGTTGACCATTTAAATCCACTGGTCCAGTTACATGGAAACTTTTTAAGGAATGTTCTGTTTCCTGGAATATAACATAAAACATGGAACATCTCTAGAACTGATCGAACAAACAAGAGCTATCACTAGAGGTGATTCGTACCCACATCCACCAGCTTAACTATGTGAAAAATAAGTGATCTAAAGCCAAATTTGAACTCGACCTATATTTTACCTTATATATTTATATCTGTGTACCAATAATAAGTAGAATGAATTGCCTTCTTAAAAGAGTATAATCATCTCTTAACCATTACTTTTGTAAAAAAAAAAGAAGATAACTGAGTAAACTAGAACTGCCACTATCATGGCGTGAATACCCCCGCATACCACTTTGTCAGAATCAACAGTGGCCATTTAGAGCTCAAGGACAACCTCCCTGCCAAATCTGAGGTTACTAAGCCAGTGCATTGCTAAGTTATGTATTCTACATGCTTCAAATGTGAAAATGTCAAAATCAATACATTGCGGACAGGACATTCTTTAGCAATTGAGAAGAAAAGCTTTTTTTTGTCAAGGTCCCTGTGACCTTGACCTTTGACCCAGTGACCTCAAAATCAATAGGGGTCACCTTATAGTCATGATCAACATCCATGCCAAATATGAAGACTGTGGGTCAAAGGAATCTTAAGTTAATGGGTGGACAAACTTTTTGAAGTCAAAGTCCCTATGACCTTGACCTTTGATCCAGTGACCTCAAAATCAAAAGGGGTCATCTACTAATCATGATCAACATCCATGCCAAATATGAAGACTGTGGGTCAAAGGAATCTAAAGTTATTGGGCAGACAAACTTTTTAAGGTCAAAGTCCCTGTGACTTTGACCTTTGACCTGGTGACCTCAAAATCAATAGGGGTCATCTACTAATCATGACTAACCTACATTCCAAATATGAAGACTGTGGGTCAAAGAAATCTAAAGTTATTGGGCGGACAAGCTTTTTGAAGTCAAGGCCCCTGTGACCTTGACCTTTGACCTGGTGACCTCAAAGTCAATAGGGGTTATCTACTAATCATGACTAACCTCAATGCCAAATATGAAGACTGTGGGTCAAAGGAATTTTAAGTTATTGGGCGGACAAGCTTTTTGAAGTCAAGGCCCCTGTGACCTTGACCTTTGACCTGGTGACCTCAAAATCAATAGGGGTCATCTACTAATCATGACTAACCTCCATGCCAAATATGACAACTGTAGGTCAAAGGAATCTTAAGTTATTGGGCGGACAAGCTTTTTGAAGTCAAGGCCCCTGTGACCGTGACCTTTGACCTAGTGACCTCAAAATCAATAGGGGTCATCTACTGATCATGACCAATCACCATACCAAGTTTGAAGTTCCTAGGCCTTAAGGTTCTTTAGTTATTGATCGGAAACCGTTTTTGCTTACAAGGTCAATGTGACCTTGACCTTTGAGCCTTTGACCCCAAAATCAATAGGGGTCATCTACTGGTCATGACCAATCACCTTACCAAGTTTGAAGTTCCTAGGCCTTAAGGTTCTTTAGTTATTGATCGGAAACTGTTTTTGCTTACAAGGTCAATGTGACCTTGACCTTTGACCCCTTGACCCCAAAATCAATAGAGGTCATCTACTGGTCATGACCAATCACCATACCAAGTTTGAAGTTCCTAGGCCTAAGGGTTCTTTAGTTATCACTCGGAAACCATTTGGTCTACGGACCGACGGACCGACAAGTGCAAAGCAATATACCCCCTTTTCTTCGAAATGGGGGCATAATTAAAAACAAGGAAAGTCCCAGATGCACAACTACACATGATGACCAACAGTTCTGTAAAGTTTCATGACTATATGGTGAAATACATTTTGAGTCAGCCCAACACAAGTTAAAAACTGCAACCTCATCCAGTCAGTACTCGAGCTCACTGCATCAAACTCATTCAGTACTGGAGAAGCATCTAAATGTTAACATGTAGCAAGTACTGGACAGCTTGGTGCTGGTAGAATCTACTATATATATGTCAGTTATAAACAGAATTTAAAAGTTGACTTCCGGTGTCCTGAATAAAGCCGAGAGGAAGGCAAAGTAGGCTGAGTCACAGGGGTGCATTAGCCCCTAGTACAAATGACGGCTTGTAAGACAGGCCCTTTGCTTGGCACCAACAGCCCCTTTTAAGGGCTACCTCCTTTCATTATTGTCTCAGGTTAATGTACATTTAGGTTCTCATTGACTGCCATACAGTGACCTACTTTGGCTCAAAATTCATATCTTTGGCTTATACTCCATGGAAATTGCATGGAGGTAAATTATCACCACTTTGTGCTACAAAATTAACTCTATCAGGGCATGACTGGGGTTTGTACTTGACAGTGAAAGTTGCATTTTGTGCCCTTGCGGGGTGATGGACATCTCTAATCCTAAATAAGCAGATAAATATTTTTCATAGTTTTTTTTATTCATTTTTCATATTAAATTTATATCCATTATGATACATATAAAATATAAAAACTCAGAACAGCTTTTGTAATGTTTATAGTATATTTCACCTGTTTTTTATGGTTTTACAGAAATGAATATGAAATGAAACTTATACCTAGACATATTTCTTCTTCTTTTACTGTACAGTAAGTTATAAATGTCTGAGGCGGGGCTTGCTTCATTTGACAGTTGCTTCCCATCAATGCTTTAGCACATGATATTTTATCAGCATCAAGTTGGTAACCATAGCGACAATGATATGGTCTTTTGAAAGTCCGGCTTCCCTGAAAATAATATGAAAAAATAATGCTCTACTTTTTCTTAATTAAAAGTATCATTATACTATAATGCAAGAAAAATTAATATCTACTTCCGTTCTCACATAGAGAATTGATAAAAATATGTTGAACTACATTGAGCGACTAGAAGTAATTTTCCTGACTTCATTTGATTTATTTATGTCATATCTGACCTTATATGACCTGTACGTACTCTGTTTTTTATGCTGTAATAATGCACTTGACTGCCCTACCTGTTTGATTGAGAAAATATGTGAAGCGTGTTAGGATATTATTTTTGCCTATGATACAAAAGAGAAAGAATATTAAAACACTTGGCAATAGAATATATACTTGGGGGTTATGTTATCTTGAACAAATCAAATACCCTCATGTTTCGATGATCTTTCTATAAGTTTGTTTGTACCCCCAAATTAGCTGGGAAAAATATTCTGTATTCAGGTGTAAGTCTATTTAAGTATGTCTATAATGCTAGTTTCTTAACAAATCAAGAAACAAGAGGGCCATGATGGCTCTGAATTCACTCACCGGGCGGGGCCAATTTTAACCAGGGGGCTTTTATTTGAACAAACTTGGTAGACACCCATTTGAAGATGTTTTATGCTAAATATGTTAACTCTAGCTCTAAAGGTTTAAAAAAAAAAAAAAAAAGATTTCTTAAGTTTTTACTATATACATAAAGGGAAAATGAATGACCCCCTAGGGCATGGGCCAATTTTGACCCCAGGGCTTAAATTATTTGAACAATTTGGTAGACCCTCACTAGAAGATAATTCATGCTTAATATCTGAACTCTAGCTCTTTGGGTTTTTTAACAGAAGATTTTTTAAGCTTTTACTTTATACATATAAGGAAAATCAATGATACCCCGGGGCAAGCCAATTTTAACCCCAGGGCCCTTATTTGAACAAAAATGGTAGACACCTTTAGAAGATGTTGAACAAAAATGGTAGACACCTTTAGAAGATGTTTCATGTTAAATATCTTAGCTCTAGTTCTAAAGGTTTTTTAAAAGAAGATTTTTTAAGTTTTTACTATATACATAATGGGAAAAACAATGACCCCCTGGGGCAAGGCCAATTTTGACCCCAGTGCTTTTATTTGAACAAATTTGGTAGACACCTACTAGAAGATGTTCCATGCTTAATAGCTAAGTTCTAGCTATTTGGGTTTTCTAAAAGAAGATATTTTAAGTTTTTTCGTTCGGTTTGCAACCAGAGTTCTGCTTGGAATTAAATTCTATGAAATTTTTTTTAAAGTTGACTACCAAAGGAACATTCCTGTGAAGTTTGGATAAAATTGGCTTAGGGGTTTATGAGGAGATGTTGTTTAAAGTAAAAGTTTACAGAAGGGCGACGGATGAAAAGCGATCACAAAAGCTCACCATGTCACTTTGTGATAGGTGAGCTAAAAAAAACCTTTAACCACATAATAGTTATTTGGACAGATATGCTGTCAATGCACCTAGTGCATATCGGTAACAATACTAATTTTTATATGTATACATTTAATTAAATTTACTTCTAAATTTAAATGTACATGGACCTTATAAAAATTTTATATGTATTATATACATTTAATTAAATTTACTTCTAAATTTAAATGTACATGGACCTTATAAAAATATATTAGGAAAGATCTTACACAAGTTCTATTTATATTAAAACTAACAAGCAATGATTTATATTGTTGTCCATACTTAATTAATAGAGCGCAAACAGTTTTCACAGTCCGGGTCACTGTGACCTTGACCTTTATGAATGTGTGCCCTTAACAGTTAAAGGCTTCTCTAATAAATAAGGATGGTCATCCTTTGTAAAAACAGTTTCCACATTTAACCTTGACCTTCATGCATAAATAAGCACATATAAACAAGAGGGGTCTTCTTAACCCTAAAGAAATGATCATCCAATGAACAGTCATCAAATTTAAGATTTTGAATTCACTGGCCCGAATTCGAGTTTTGAATTTATTCTACTATATATTTAACTAAATTTTCTTAAAATTTACACTAGCCCGAACTAATTTTCACTGGCCATGGGCCACCGGGCCAGTGCTAAATTCGATGACTGAATGAAGTTTGAAGGCAGTGGGTCATATGGTAGTCTAGGTAGTGAGCAGAAATGTTTTTCACATTCACGGTCACTGAGACATTGTCCTTTACTGCTTTAGGCATTAGTGCCCAAAAACAACACCAACAGCCTTCTGCTAAATGAGGGTGACCATTCTAGAAAGTTTGAAGGCTGTGGGTAAAATGGTTCTCTAGTAATTGAGCGGAAACAAAATGGTCTACCAATTGACTTACCTACATACCTACAGACCAATAAAACATAAATTTGTAAAGCAAAAATAACAAACTGTATACAGTATAACTATTTTGTCTTTTACCTACAATCATTTTACATTTGGATGACCATACATATGTAAGGTCACTTTAAAGAAAAAAAATCCCTTTACGGGTCTTTGTTTGCATATGTTTCCATTACATGTACAATCCATATATAACTCAAACAGACTGGAATAATAAAATTAGTACGAGGAATTACTTTTGTCATTTTATAAAAGCAAATTTTATCACAAGATCTGGCTTGACTGTATATAAACACAGAGATAAAGAAAATATAGAAATTAACGAGATTTACCAAACATGTGATGTTCTGTTTGACAGTACATTCTGTTGTCTCAGTCTTCCCATAGACACAGTAGTAGTTGAGCTTGCAGTTTATACATGAAGCACCAAGGTTTTCACAAGGTACATTATCTGGACAATGTTGGAGGTAGGAGAAATCAATGGTGGTTGACTCAGTTGGTGTTACATTGAAAAAGTTGCCTTTGCTTGCATCTGTTGTTGTATTTGTGTCAACAATAGGTGGAATGATTGTTGATACTGCATCTCGTTTTACAACATCAGCTGAAGATAAAATCAAACACATAATTCTACATATATGTAGAAAAAATTGTTTTTTATGTACTTTGGAAATGAAGCATTGTTGAAAGATTCATACATAATGACTGTATCTTATTCTTTCATCAAATTTTATCCAATTTAATTCATTAAATCAGTAAATGGAGCATCATCTCTTGTGTCAAGAACGATTCTTGCAGCTCTTTTCTGAAATTTTATTATATCCAAAATCTGTTCATTGCTACAGTTTCCCCAGACTGTACACCAATAATCTAAGTGAGCAGTCTGTTACTGTACAATATTTAAAAAGGAAATTCGTTACAGGGCTGTAACTCTTACAACAAGAGGGCCCAGAGGGCCCCCAGATCGCTCACCTGAGAAATTGGTCAAAAGGTCAAAGTGTAGCCCCTTTTCACCCCAGAAGCACAATTTGAATACAAGGGACAGCTTAATCTGAAAAAAGTACACTTTCACCAAAGAAATGTTTGTGTAAAATTATTTCAAAACTGAACCAGTGGTTAAGATGTTGTTAAGATGTTATTGTTTTCTAATTTTAACTCTGGCAGCCATTTTATTAAGCAGTTCAGTCTGTCACTAAGTGAGAGGTGAGCTAATAAAAAGATGATTGAAAAAGGGAGGGAAAACAAACATTTGACCTGGCTGGAGATTGAACTGTCAACCTTGATCCCCTGGGGCCGGCCAATTTTGACCCTAGGGGTTTATTTCAACAAACATGGTAGACAATTACACTAGAACATGCCAAATATCTAAGCTTTAGGTGTTTAGGATTTTCACAATTAGTTTTTACTATATACATATAAGGAAAATAAATGACCCCTGGGGCTGGACCAATTTTGACCCTAGGGCATTTATTTGAACAAACTTGATAGGCATCCACTAAATATATTATCTATAGTGCTTTTAGATTGTCACAAGAAGATTTTTTAGGTTTTTACTATATACATATAAGGAAAATCAATGAACCCCTGGGGTGAGGTCAATTTTGACCCTGGGGATTTTATTTTAACAAACTTGGTAGATATCTATTAGAAAATGTTTCATGCCAAAAATCTAAGCTCTACTTCCTTTTAGTTTTAGATTTTCACAAGAAGATTTTATAAGTTTTTACTATATACATGATCCTAGTGCTTTTATTTGAACAAGTTTGGTAGACATCCACAAGAAGATGTTTCATGCCAAATATGTAAGCTCTAGCTGTTTTGTTTTTTTACAAGAAGATTTTTTAAGATTTTTGTAAAAATATCATTCAGTTGCCATTGCAACCAGAGTTCTTCACAGAATTTAATTCTTTGAACAACTTCGGTAGAGCTTCATGCAAGAAACATCCCTGCAAATTTTCAACAAATTTGGCCATGTGAATTGTTGACGCACATGCGCACAGACGAAAGATGGACGACGGACAATGGGCCATCACAAAAGTTCACCTTGAGGACATTGTCCTCAGGTGAGCTAAAAAATATTGAACCAGAAAATGGTGATGATATGCATAACTAGACTTGGTACTGATCATTCCTGGAAAGTTTGGATATAATTGCAGCAGGAGTTTCTGAGGAGTAGTCTGAACAAGCTTCTGTGTAGCTGGCAACACTACAATCACTAACAGACCAAAACACCTTTTTCATTCAAGGACCATATAAACTCACCCAAAAATCATTCAAGCAGAAAATCCATGTTATATGCATAAGTACTTGAGCTACTTATCAATCATGTATGAGATCGTATTTACTATTTCTTAGTAACAGTATAAGCATTTGTCAAAATTAGACTTTTCTGGGACTAAGTTTGTCATTTGTCCAAAGTGGTTTAAATAAGAGTTGTCCTAGACATTGGGCAATAGGATTTGTAGAGGCCTGCAAATTTTGAAGGTACTTCACCCCTTAAAACACTTCATTCACTCATCTTTTGTTTGAATTTCAATACAACCAGTGTTGCATCTAGGCCGCGCGATTGCGCGATTTGCGCATTTTTTATGCAGATCGCGCATTTTATTGAAGTCAGTGCGCGCCAAGTCGCGCATCTGACAATCTTTTCAACTTAATTCAATTTATCTTCATCGTATCTTAAACGCTTCAGCCATGTTTGTTTTCACTCGTGGTTATGACTAAAATATGTACTAAATCGCGTGTAGCAGCCGACTAAGTCATCTCGCGTGTGAAATGTAGTATTCGTCAATATTTTATTTTTTCTACTTCCGTTTTTGAGCGGACGATAGCTGTCAAAAAGGCCTGAATGTAAAATAAATGAACTCTATTCTGTATGTCATATTGTAAGGTCAATGTATGTCCCCCACATCTTTTTCAAATCCCCCACATTTTTCAATTGAGTGGGGGACAATCCCCCATAATTTTGAAATTCTAGATGCAACACTGATACAACATTACATAAAATTTATCAGTTTATGCGCAAAGTGGGCCCGGCATTGGCTTGCCCGGCTATAGATCACGTTTGTATATCTAAAAGGAAATCAAATAAAAAACAATTAAAGAATATATAGAATTCTATACTGGTCAGGGACCATCAACCGGACACTTTTTGAACATTTTTCCGTACAGATTTCATCATTTTTAACCCAGACACCTAAAAATTTGACACAGTTCAGCTTGGTTCTTCTCCTACTGTAACTAACAAACTAGTTTGTTTATTTCTGAATGTATTAACACTTATATCTGAGGCTCAACAAGGAGGGTATCAAAATTGCCTAAATTTTCTACACTACAGTACCATGTGTCCGGACAGATATGTACATGACGTGATTTAATTCAGATAAAAGCTTGGGTGTTTTGATTTTTAACATGATATACAATATGTCAGCAACAATATGTCATGGTTTGATGCCAGATGGTCCCCAACCAGTACCTATCAATGAATTTTTCAGTGTCAGTTCTAATCGGGCACCGCCATTTCATATTTGTAACCCAATGATATTGATAATAGACAAGGTATTCCTATAACTAACAATCACAACTTTTCAGACTAATAATAATCATTGAGTATTTCCCAGTAAAAATGGAAGCTGTGCATAAAATACTGAATGACACCTTTAAAATGGAAAAATTAAATCTTTTTTTAACCGACTTCACCGTTCATACAGGCTTTGCGTAATTTCATATTATTCAAAGGCAATTAAATAAAAAACAAATAAAAAAATATATAGAATTCTATTATTATCAATGAAATTTTAAGTATCATTTCATGCTGGGCACCGTAATACAATGATTTACAGCAAAAATTCCAATAATTGACCAATTGCAACTTTTTAACATACAAGGTGTAATAGAGCTGCATTTTAGTAAATGTTCTCAGTTTTTATTGCCCTTTTCGCTTGTTTTCCGTACTGAAACTGAAACTGGTTTATTTGGTTAAACGCCTATTATTTACAATTAAACATGTATTCAATGGCGTTTTACAATAAAATACAATTTAAACTAAAATCCCATAATGATACTGTTTTAACATGAATGCAAAAAAAATTCAAAAAATGCTAAAATACAAATAATAAAAGTGATACAGACAATTTAAACAAAAAAAAATATTGCCTAAAATATACCGTAGAATATCAGAGACCCAGCACATAATACAAAGAGCATAAAAACGAATAAAAATAACTAAAACATATAAAAATATAGTTGGTTCTTACACAGTCATTAAAAAATTAAATACATGTATTTCTGGTAAAACACATAGGTTATGTAAAAATATCAGACTAAAACGCAGAAGTTACTTGAATTTTACAATAGCAATTGTGCTAGATTATTGCTTAGCAAATTGTTCTGAATCACCGTAGTTGTTAAAGCCAAAAATTAAATTAAAACAATGAGTAGAAGTTATTGAAAAAGTGGGTTTTTAGTTTATGTTTAAACACATCTAGAGACTGAGACTGTCTAATATCTATTGGTAATTGGTTCCATAATTTCGGTCCCGCCGTACCAAAACTTCTGTCACTGAATGTTTTCTTTTATTAAAAGGCACTTCGTAAACACTGTCTACTAAAACAGCTGATCTGAGCCCTTGTCGCTTTGGAACCTGCCGGCTTAAAAGTTCAGCCAGGTAAAGCGGTGCGCTGCCTACAGAACATTGGTACATGAATGTTAGAATTTTCTGATTTATTCTTGCTTTAATAGGTAACCAATGCAAATCATACAATGCCTGTTTAGAACTATCAAATTTCCGACGTTTTAAAACCAACTTTGCACACATGTTTTGTATCCTTTGGAGTTTGTAAATGTCTTTATCGGGAATACCATACAAAATCACATTGAAGTAATCAAGATGTGAGATCACTAGACTTAAGATAAGAGTTTCTGTTGCTTCTTTGGTAAGATAGTTGCGTATATTCTTAATTCTAAAAAAGTTGAGCATGGCTGTTCTACATTTATTTTTTACATGTTCTTTAAGGTTTAATGTTTCATCGGGATAGGCTCCTAAGTAACGAATACATTTTACGCGACTGACTTTGTCACCGGCGATGTCAAATTCAGTTGTCTGGCATTTGTGAAGTTGCTGTTTGCTTCCAAAAATGATAAACTCGGTTTTCGAAGTGTTCATTTTCAGCTTATTCTGGTTCATCCAGTCGTTTATGGTGATTGCACAATTCTCGATGTCTTTGATTGCTTTAGTTTCACTGTTTTGAGTTGCGGGCCTGAACGTTTTGTGAGCAATGTACCAAGTTAATTTGATCGCTGCTTGTTGGTAGATTCTGGTTAAATATATAATCTTGTTCATACTCTTGATAAATAAATTCTATGATTATCGTTTAAATAAATCTTGTAGTGTTAAATTTATAAAGTCTTGTGTTATACTTTCTTAATATAAAGAGTAAATTGAAGGTAGCGTCCAACACCACCATCCTAGCCACTGGTTGCCAATTAAGAGTTCAGAGAACCTGGGTAAAGTGCCGTTTAAAGATATATTTGTCCAGAGCGCCACCGAGTGTTGGGCTTGAATCAGCTTGAACCACTGATAATAAACCGGAACTATTACAAAGGTAACAATAATAGCTGAGGGAAGCCTAATCTGGTACCCAATCCTTATATGGTCCTCATATAAGATGAAGTGTGCTGGGTACCAGTCTAAATGGAAGCGGTACTTTTTTTAAAAAGAAAATGTAAAAATAAAAAATTGAAGTAATATTTTATTTGACTTCCTCGTTCAAAGGCTTTGTCTACTTTCATATTAATGTGATAATAAATTCAATGACGATAGGATAATAAACAAATAAAAATGAGAGTAATACTCCTGTACAGTCACTACTTGCTGCATTTGCATGCCAGTGTATTTAAACAACTAACAGTGGTTTGTCCGAAAATGTCATGTCCGAAATTTATCTTTTATTTGAACAGTTTTAAATATACATAGCATAATCTTACCAGTACTACATGAAGTAATTCTAAAACAAATTGGCAATAAACTCAAACTTATAAATATATTGAGAGAACAATAATGAAATGAAAGTAATCTGCAGAAATCCATCACGACCTCTCCATTACTTCCGGTTTACTAGTTTACATCATAAACAAAAATAATAATTTTTTAATGTTGATAAATACCAGATATTTTTCAAATTATTATTGCAGTCTCAAATAAGAAAGAGTTTTACGATCAAACTTTTATTTAAAAAAAAAAACAACATGTTTTGTTTTATTACTGTATGCGATAACTTGTTTCTATGATGTAAGCGATATTTTTACTTATTTTACAAGTTGGAAAACTGACAAAGAGTTTTTAACCGTTTCACGTTATTCGATTGAAGGTAAAGAATAATATCTTTGTCATTCTCTAGTATAATTAACACTCTAACGATATAAGCTTTTATAGAATTAATAGATCAAAGAAATGATTTAGCTATTAGCGTAAAAAATGTGTTTGCACTTCACACCATGAAAAATCTATTGACACCAAGCTTTATCTGTCAAATGTTGATAAAAGGCTTTTAACATTTCGACAAATCATAAAACTTGTTTTAAAACCATTCCCACACTAGTCTTCACAACATTTATTGTTTCAAGAAGGCAGACATAGAAATACAACAGTCGTAAAAAAAAATCTACTCTTCCTGTATATTTTGGATATGTAGGGTAGCAATGATTGGAAAAGAGTCAACTCGGCCCTATAACAACTCGGCACGGGTCAACTCGGCCCACTTTACAAAAATATATAGGCCTATAACGTATTTGCTTTGCATGTTGTTAAGGTAAATGAATAATAAGAAATATCTTATTATTGTTATATATTTATACATTGTACCCTTGCTGAAATAAAGTATATTTAGAAAAAAAGTTATTTATTTGTCTTGCAGATTCGATAAAATTAATATAGACACAGGCACGATTATCGAACCTGGGAAGAAAAATATGAACAGATTGATAAAATAACTTCATATTTTTTCTTCCCAGGTCCGATATTTGTGCCTGTGAATATATAGATATAATAAAAATGTGTTTCCTTAGATGCATTTTGTTTGTAAAGTAATTTTCAAAAAAATATGAAACAAAAACGTGTTTACTTAATAGCATAAGCTTCTAATTTATTGCAGGTGGTCACTTGAATGAGTCAATCATAATTATCACCTAATTAATCGGTATCTTTAACAGAGGCTCATAGGGAAGACTGGGCTTGCCTAACTATGTTGCCTCTTTAAATAAAGTCTTTATTATTATTATTATTATACTACAGATTAATAAGTATAAACCATAATTTGTAAAGCAAATGTCCATTCTGTATAAAGGAAAATTCCATTTCGTATTGGCTAGATTGTTTTCAGAAATATGACTATAAAATAGGAAAATAGTAATATTAAATACATGAAATACAATCTGTAGTTTTATGTCATATGTGAAACGTAAGTTAATAAAAATGATATTATTTATCACGGTTAAACCATAACTTATAAAACAAATGTCCGTTTCATAAGCGATAAGTCCACTTCGCAAAATGGAGTCCATTTTGCATTCTATTACAACCCACTAGTATACTAACAAGGCTTTTTAAAGAGCATCAGTGCTTTCTTTAAATGTGTTGCATTAGGTAAGTAACAATTAGTTGTACTTACCGACTTTGGACATGACACACACACAAATCATATCATGTTGCTTTATTTAATTCCTCACCTTTATGTAACCCGAAGCATTCCTGTACCCTTTATTTAAGTATTGTTATTATATAAATTTATTTAAATATTTTATTTCTTTTCAGTTGTGAAAATCTGGTAGGATGAGCTACGTAGGTTGTCTTGTATCCCTAAATTGTGGGGAGTCCTTGGGTACATTCCAGGGTCAAGTGAGGAAGGTAGACAACTCAACACAGTCTTTATCTATAAGTCATCCATTCAGAAATGGGGTTAAATGTGAAGTTCCAGAAGTAACAATCAGGTATGTTTTATATGCTTAACCCTTTACTCTCTATGCTTTTTAACACCTGACTACTGATATCCAATACACACTTACAAATTTACATGAACTTAGCTGCTTTTAATATGATTTTAAATGAAGTCTTATATTTCTTTTTAAATTTCATATTATTATTTATCAAAAATTAATTAAGATCTAAATGTAAGAATGTAAATTTGGTTAATTTTACTTTATTTCGTAACTATGCCAAATTAAATTCAAACTGACAAGAAACTTTGAAACAGCCAAGAGCCAAAACGGAAGAGACTGTGTGGTTACATGACATTGTGTACGAAATCATAAGAAAGCTAAAAACAATATATAGTAGATCTTATCAGCTTTGCTGGTGTAGTGAAGGAACATTATGCTTGTCTGTTAGTTTTACATACAATTGCATGTAGATTTCCTTCCTTGTCTTTAGTGATTGTCACATGCAAAAAAATCGCTTTTGTAATGTAATATGTAAATTTGATGGACCTGTAGAATGTGTTTAAAGTGGCCATATTTTAGAGAGCACAGCTTTGTGGCCAGATCTGTGAATATCCACCATATTAAGAGTCTAAACTTTGGAGTTAATAAGAATCTTGACTTGAGGTAGCCCTTAAAGATGATGGCGTAGCTTGCTGCACACTTTGTTCCCAGTGTAGTTCCTGAGATTTTATAAGTTAAGATTAATGACAAATGAAAATTTTGATCCAACCTTAGAACTGATACACGAATTGTATAACATGAAAATGTGGAATTATATAATATGATCAATAAATGATGTCATTCACTCTTAATTTCAGTGCTTGCGATATAAAGGAGTTGAAAATTATAAAAACTGCTCATGAGGCGAAGCACGTTTTACCTAAAAAATCAACCCCATCAAAACTTTCAAAAGAAACAGCTGAGGATCTGGACTCTGTGGCATCACCAGGGAGAATTGCGGAATCTAAACTAGAGCAAAATGGTAACGGCACTGCAGGAAATAGTAATAAAGTAAATGTTTTGACAAATGGAAGGGACAGATATGTTAATGACAGGAGGCCAACAGAGTATAGTACCAGAAATAGTAGTCCACATGGTAACTTGTCAGGACGTGACAGAGATAATGGTACTAATGGGCATCACAGTTATTCAGGGTATACATATTTTTCATACATTATTTTGATATGTTCATGCTCAAATATAAAAATGATTATTTACAACAGGATCTTTGGCAATATTCATTGAGGCATATCTATCAAGCTGCATCATAGATTGTTTCTTTCCATAAAAACAATTTTCCTAATATATAGTCAGTTGAGTTGATATTTAATCTGTGCTAAACATGATGTACAGATGTGTAATGTATATAAAATAGGGTATCTTTTGTTAAAAAAAAAAAGATATAAGAAATTGTATTGTAAATCCAATTTCACATGTTGCAATCCATTTCGAATCAACTAAAAATAATTGTACTTGTTAGAAATACATATTATTGAGACCTAAGGAGACTTAGAATAGTCTTACCTACATGTACATACTGCTTGTTATGTTTAAAACACTTTCTGATGAAAAATTTATTCAATGTTCATAAAAAGATTTCAGCCTTGTTAATGGCAAAGAATATACTTCATCTATTCAACTTTGTATTTTATGTATAGCATAATTTTAGAATTATTTATATGATAAAGGTCAAGGTATGATGAAGGTAGTAATGGTTCTAGAAATAGACAAACACCAACAAAAGATGAACAATTTAGAAGTAGAAGAAACTCAGGTATGTTGATACTTTTGATGTATATGTCTTTTAAACTAGGATCATTGTTTCTTTTATTTGTATAAAGATTTAATTGTCTACAAAAATGAAAATTATGATACTTTATGATGCCTTTGCTCTTATTTATATCATTTAAATGTTCTTTTAATAAGTTCATGTACAGTTCCTTCTAATTGGTTCTTTGGATTCATTGAGTTTTAATGTGTATTTAATTGTAACTGTTTACAGTGTTTATTTCCTTATATAACTGCTACTGGCAAATGGCACCAGTCCCAATAGAAAAAAGACAGCAAATTTTCCAATTCATAACTGATGAATTCCCAAAAAAAACACTGAATGTTTCCTCTAAAATCGGTAAATTCAAAGGTAAACAAAAACATTTATGTCATTTTCAATGACCCATAACTTTGACGTAGATTTTGACTGAATTATAGCCGTTGTAAACTTAACTAGACTCATAACAATGTCATGTACATTGTATTTTTTACTATGAATGAAATCTTCCTCTTTGTTAATTCTTACATTATCCAGGGTCTTGTTTTACTATCCAGCATCAAGAATAGTCAAACATGCTGTACTCTGGACAGCTCTTGCTATTGTTGTTGTTTTTTTCAGAATCAGAAGGCAGGGCGTCTGCGAAGACAAGTGTCCCGAGAAAGATTGAGTTCCGTAAGAAGACAAGTTCACGGCAAGATTGTTTCAGTGCCCCAGTAGATTCATTAATGGATGAGTTTGACTTTGAGAAAAATCTTGCTCTGTTTGATAAGAAAGCAGTGTTTGAAGAGATTGAAAATAATAATCCGGAGGTAATACGTGTTGGTGATAAAAAGCCGACTAAATATAGACATGATGAGAACGTCCTCCAATCCAAACCCACAACATTTCAACAAATAAAAGTCCCAAAAGATTATGGGAGTTCTTATGTTACAGGTAATTATAAAAACAACTATTATAAGCATTGGTTTTACATTGAACTTTTGATGCCATATTGATTCAATGATCAACATGTTATATATATGATTCATGGAGTCGGGCACCTGAAGTCTTCCTCCACCAGTAAAGCTGGAAAGTCACCATATGACCTACACTGTGTTGGAGTGACGGAAAACCCTTATCTGTCTGGATTCTACCAGATATAATCAATGGCCTGTGCCACAAAGTTGAGCCTAGCTTTGTTCAGTCTGACCTGACTATTACTCTTTGAACATATCAATAATTGAATTTTATCATTTTCATATTGCAAATTCTATACATATATTTTAAAGCAGCACGCCTCCAGATTCATCCTTATGTTCATGAAAATTTTGAAAATGTATTTTAAAGTAAAATATTGTGACATGAACGAAGAAAGTAATTGACACATTGCATATCAGCACTTATAATCCACGTAAATTACCAAAAAATATGCAAAAATAGCCCCTACTGTGTTAGTAACGCACTAGAAATATGGTGATAAATACTCAGCAAAAATCAGTCATTAATTACACATATGATATAAACTATCACTTGAATCTGTTTACTTTTCATAAATGGCAATGGTTTTAAAATTAATTCAGTACATGATAAGGCTATTGCACAAGTGGAAAATATAACAGTTTTAAATAAATGAAGTTTATATCATTTGTAATAAAACATAGATGTTTATTAAAGAAATTTTTACATATAATTTAACATATTATTTTTGATGTTTCAGATTCAGGTTTAATAGTTCCATGTATAGATTATGACCTCAGAAATAAGTTATTTGATATAGCTGAAGCTTGTGGGTTTTCTATGGAGAGAAGGTTAGAGATGATAGGTAGATCATCTAGTGAGATGGTACTGCAGCTTCTAGGTGGCAGTAGTAGGTATGTCAATAGTCATGTCCAGCATTCTTAGTTCTTCATAGGTTTCTTAATTTTCCTCGTTTGTCAATTTTTAGCTCACCTGTCACAAAGTGACAGGGTGAGCTTTTGTGATCGCTTTTCGTCCGGCTTCCGCCCGGCGTCCGTCCGTCCGTAAACTTTTGCTTTAAATGACTCCCCTCATAAACCACTGAGCCAATTTCATCCAAACTTCACAGGAATGTTCCTTTGGTGGTCACCTTTAAAAATTGTTCAAAGAATTTAATTCCATGCAGAACTCTGGTTGCCATGGCAACCAAAACTTTAAATATCTTCTTTTAAAAAACCATAAGAGCTAGAGCTTAGATATTTGGCATGAAACATCTTCTAGTGAGTGTCTACCAAGTTTGTTCAAATAAAAGCCCTGGGGTCAAAATTGGCCCCGCCCCTGGGGGTCATTGATTTTCCCTATATGCATATAGTAAAAACTTAAAAAATCTTCTTTTAAAGAACCGTAAGAGCTAGAGCTTAGATATTTGGCATGAAACATCTTCTAGTGAATGTCTACCAAGTTTGTTCAAATAAAAGCCCTGGGGTCAAAATTGGCCCCGACCCAGGGGGTCATTGATTTTCCCTATATGCATATAGTAAAAACTTAAAAAATCTTCTTTTAAAGAACCCAAAGAGCTAGAGCTAAGATATTAAGCATGAAACATCTTCTAGTGAGTGTCTACCAAGTTTGTTCAAATAAAAGCCCTGGGGTCAAAATTGGCCCCGCCCCGGGGGTCATTGATTTTCCCTATATGCATATAGTAAAAACTTAAAAAATCTTCTTTTAAAGAACCATAAGGGCTAGAGCTTAGATATTTGGCATGAAACATCTTCTAGTGAATGTCTACCAAGTTTGTTCAAATAAAAGCCCTGGGGTCAAAATTGACCCCGCCCCAGGGGGTCATAGATTTTCCCCATATGCATATAGTAAAAACTTTAAAAATTTTCTTTTAAAGAACCCAAAGAGCTAGAGCTAAGATATTAAGCATGAAACATCTTCTAGTGAGTGTCTACCAAGTTTGTTCAAATTAAAGCCCTGGGGTCAAAATTGGCCCCGCCCCGGGGGTCATTGATTTTCCCTATATGCATATGGTAAAAACTTAAAAAATCTTCTTTTAAAGAACCATAAGAGCTAGAGCTTAGATATTTGGCATGAAACATTATCTAGTGAATGTCTACCAAGTTTGTTCAAATAAAAGCCCTGGGGTCATAATTGACCCTGCCCCAGGGGGTCATAGATTTTCCCTATATGCATATAGTAAAAACTTAAAAAATCTTCTTTTAAAGAACCGTAAGAGCTAGAGCTTAGATATTTGGCATGAAACATCTTCTAGTGAATGTCTACCAAGTTTGTTCAAATAAAAGCCCTGGGGTCAAAATTGGCCCCGACCCAGGGGGTCATTGATTTTCCCTATATGCATATAGTAAAAACTTAAAAAATCTTCTTTTAAAGAACCCAAAGAGCTAGAGCTAAGATATTAAGCATGAAACATCTTCTAGTGAGTGTCTACCAAGTTTGTTCAAATTAAAGCCTTGGGGTCAAAATTGGCCCCGCCCCGGGGGTCATTGATTTTCCCTATATGCATATAGTAAAAACTTAAAAAATCTTCTTTTAAAGAACCATAAGGGCTAGAGCTTAGATATTTGGCATGAAACATCTTCTAGTGAATGTCTACCAAGTTTGTTCAAATAAAAGCCCTGGGGTCAAAATTGACCCCGCCCCAGGGGGTCATAGATTTTCCCCATATGCATATAGTAAAAACTTTAAAAATTTTCTTTTAAAGAACCCAAAGAGCTAGAGCTAAGATATTAAGCATGAAACATCTTCTAGTGAGTGTCTACCAAGTTTGTTCAAATTAAAGCCCTGGGGTCAAAATTGGCCCCGCCCCGGGGGTCATTGATTTTCCCTATATGCATATGGTAAAAACTTAAAAAATCTTCTTTTAAAGAACCATAAGAGCTAGAGCTTAGATATTTGGCATGAAACATTTTCTAGTGAATGTCTATTAAGTTTGTTCAAATAAAAGCCCTGGGGTCAAAATTGACCCTGCCCCAGGGGGTCATAGATTTTCCCTATATGCATATAGTAAAAACTTAAAAAATCTTCTTTTAAAGAACCCAAAGAGCTAGAGCTAAGATATTTAGCATGAAACATCTCCTAATGAGTGTCTACCAAGTTTGTTCAAATAAAAGCTCTGGGGTCAAAATTGGCCCCGCCCCAGGGGGTCATTGATTTTCCCTATATGCATATAGTAAAAACTTAAAAAATCTTCTTTTAAAGAACTCAAAGAGCTAGAGCTAAGATATTAAGCATGAAACATGTTCTAATGGGTGTCTACCAAGTATGTTCAAATAAAAGCCCTGGGGTCAGAACTGGCCCCGCCGGGGGGGGGGGGGTCATTGATTTTCCTTATATGTGTATAGCAAAAACTTAAAAATCTTCTTTGGAAAAACCCAAATAGCTAGAGTTTAGATATTAAGCATGAAACATCTTTAAGTAAATATCTACAAAGTTTGTTAAAATAAACGCCCGGGGGTCAAAACTGGCCCTGCCCCAGGGGTGACATTATTTTTAACTATATGTGTATAGTAAAAACTTTAAAAATCTTCTTTTAAAAATGCCAATGAGCTAGAACTTAGATGTTTAGCATGAAACATCTTCTTATGGGTGTCTACCAAGTCTGTTCAAATAAACAAATAAAAGCCCTTGGGTAAAAATTGGCCCGGGGGTGTGGGGCCTATATACAGGTGAGCGACCTCAGGGCCATCATGGCCCTCTTGTTTCTAGTTTTAAATGATTAACTTTTAAGGGAGACAAGCATTTAGAAGTGACAGTCCTAACTTATCTTGCACAATATTTGCTCTACCATTCTCTTTGACAATTCAGTTTTACTGTATTAATTAAATGAAGTATAATCTACATAGCTACTGACAATGTTCAAGATTATATTATGTTGGATATTTAAAGGGTACAATGTTATACCTAATTATCTAATCTAATTTGTGTGCAATGAATATCACGAAAAAGAGATTTGAAAATTTTCCTTCAATTTGATTCTGGAACTTTTGATATTTAGTTTTAGATTTGCTACCCAGTTTGGTCATATATATTTGACATTTTGATACCTTTGATACCTAGATATCAATGTATCAAACATCAATTTTCGATCTTTATGGTTATTTAGCATTTAATGTTGTTTTTTTTTACAGTACATAAAATCTTAAGTAACACAGTCAGAAAATAGGTAGTTTTTGTTTACGCTTATTTAACAGATTGTCCAATATAATAAGATTGCCAAAATCACGAAATTGCGGTACACAAAAATAATCGATTAGGTTTTCG